AATGGAAACAAATTTTATAACCAATTGTGGAAAAAAAATATTACTTTAATGGACAATTTTCATCTAAAACAAAGCCAAACGAATAGAAAATTTAAAAATTTTCCAGGTGAAAAATTATACCAATCAAACACACTTGAAATCATTTTCCCTGCAAAATATTTTCTAAGCAAATCTTTTCCCTGTAAAACATTTTCTTTCCACCCATTTTCCACCCTTACAATCAAACGCACCATGTTTGGCCCCCATTTTTTGGGGTTGAAAATTTGTAGAATAGTGATTGATGGAAAAATGTGTAGTGGAGAAGTTTTAGATTTGTGTGTAATATTATTTTATTTGAGAATGTGTGGTTGAGATAAAGAGAAAAAAAAATTAATGTAATGGAATGAGAAAAAATGGACCTCAAACGGGGGCTAAATGACCTACTGCTAAAAATGGTGGCAAACGAAGAATTTTACCGATGACCGACTTGCATCGCTACCAACAAAATCAATTGGTTGATTGTGTTTGATATTGGTAAGTTGAATTGAGCCCAAATTCCACCAAATCCGTCCCGCTACATAAACAAGAACCAATTAATCAAACAATAATAATTAGTAGTACGTAGGAACAAATTTCTCTTGCCGGGACGAAGAACACTTAGTCCCCTGCTGTTGTTTCAAGTCAAAAACGTTTGAACACAATGTGTTCTACCAGTTTTCTGGTGAATAATACAGATGCAGCTTAAGTAAGCACGATATTACGGCGCGATTCACGTGTATTGCTGAATGTGAAAGGAATTAAAACTAGTAATTTCATAGCCAAAAACACCACTTATAGGCGTCAAAATTTAGAAGATAAATGAACATATTATGAGATTAAAGAAGGGAGGAACGCTTATTCTTACAGGAGCACAGGGAAGTAAGAAGAGCCAAAAATAATAATAATAATAATAATAATAATAAACACCCTCCGACCTCCGTAACCCACAGAACAGCTTGAAATATTTTTCTTATATTATCATCCAACTCAGAAACTGACCTACCGCCACCGCCTGCGGCGGTCGTGGGGTGGAAGGGAATTTCCGGCAAGTCTTATTACAATTATATAGACCATTAGCCAATCGCCTGGTCCTAGAAGCAGAACTAGATACAATACAACATTTTTTTCTTGTTTCGTCTTTCTCGGAGCAAAACCTGATGTTGAGGTCATTAGTTTAAATTAGAACTCCTCACGTCTTTAATGAAGAGAAATTATGTACTGGAGCAGGGTCTCCATTGCACAATATCAGAGAAGCCGGCGGCAGCCGCAAAACTATTCCAGACGACGGCATTAAAAGGTTTAATTTATATGAGTAATGCTATTTATCGCATGTGTATGCGTCAAATAAAAAATTGTTACGTTTATGTCATGACGACTGTCTATAATTTTCACTATAATTAGTATCATTGGAGGCGAATTGGGTGATTGGGAGATTACGGCCAACGGGGCAGGTCATTATATAGTTGTCCCCTGTGATTTTCCATGCAGTTCTATACGGTTTCACTAAAGTCGCAAACGAAATTAGCAAAACGAAAGGTTTAGATCAAATTAGAATTGCAGCCAATCGGAGGGTGAGGTATTTTCTTGAGAAGTTTCATTAAAGTGCATCAAATTTCAATTTTGTTTCAATTTGATAACAATAACAATCCGTTACGCTCTCTACTTTCAATTTTTGCTTAGACTCCTCGTGATATATTTTGCACAACAATTGAATAGCGATATAAATTTGCAATTTTTAGCTCAAAAGTTATGCTTTTAAAATATATTTTAACCCATAAACAAAATTTTTATAAATTGAAAAATGTGATTTTGGCATGATTGGAGCCTTATTATTAACGCCTGTATTATTCACGTAAAAAAATTTGTGTTTGATTAGTTACTATTGACTAAATTAAAATGAAAATGAAAGCTTGGGTGAGTTTCTGAAAAATAGTTTGTGACTAAAATGAAAATTCGTTCAAAGTTGGGTGACCTCTCTCTTAGTAAAGCCAGGGTTCGTTCGGACGCTTATATTTCTTCAACCCTTTTCTACTCAAACGTAGAAAAATCTCTCTGCAAATTTCTTTCCCGCGCTTTACAGTCTCCGATCAATGGCTCCCAAATCCGACACCGCCGAAGGTAATTGATACACGTATTTACATAAATATGAATATACGCTATCGAAATACTGTTCTTCAGTTTATAATTACATTTGTTTGAATCAAACCCTGTATTCAACTATTGATTTATTTCCGTATATTTATTTTCAGGAATCGTGCTCAACTTCGTCAATGAGGTATAATTTATCCATTTTTTTTTTATCATTTCTATTATGTTGTAGTTATGCGTTTGCTTTACAAAATTTTCAGTCGCTTTTTATTTTTAATTTAATAATTTTGTTTGTTTCTGCTAGTTTATTTTGGGGATGTGCAGTTAGTGTTTGATTTCCATTAAATTCGGGATTGTCATTATTTAAAACATTTGGGAACTACGAAATTTTAGTAGCCAAACATCTATGCTTTTCTTCTCTTATTTTCACACTTGCTAATATGAACTAAAAGAAATTTGATTCGTAGAAGTGTTAAAGCAGGGCACCTACACTGAGTTTTTAATTCGTATTGTCTCGAGAAATAATTTCTTCTGTTCTTAATTTTTTTTCTCCTAAGTTAATGCCTTGCGGAATATTTGTATAGTTACTCGTATCACGTATGGGGAATATTTTTCTTGACATGATTATTGAAAATAGTTGTGTTCTCTGTTTCAACTTTCAAGTTGGGGAATTTTTCACTGTCTTCTTGTTTTTATTCTTTTGGCAGCAAAATAAGCCATTGAATTCCCAGAATGTGGCTGATTCGTTACAAAAGTTTAATCTCAAAAAGGCTGCAGTACAAAAAGCTTTGGATAATCTGGCTGACAGTGGGAAAATATCATTCAAAGAGTATGGCAAGCAGAAAATATACCTAGCTAAGCAAGACCAGTTTGACATTCCAAACACCGAAGAGCTTAATAAGATGAAAGAAGAGAATACCAAACTGCAAGAACAGCTCGTTGAACAAAAGAAAGCTATTGCTGGGATTGAAGGAGGTTATATATATTTTCTCCTGTGCATCATTTGTGTTTGTTTCTGAAATTAACAATTAATTGTTAAATTCATATAGTTTATGGTACAGCTTACTGCAGTCTGCATCTACAGTGGTTCAGTTGAACCTTCCCCATAATTTTATGAATTTATTTATGAAGTTAAGTTTCATGAGACTGTAGTTATATAGTAGCCCCTTGGAATTGGCCTTAAATGGGATATGTTCAAAAAAGGCAGAAAAACAGTGCAGTCTCAAAGTTCTGGTAATGAAAGAAGTGCACAATAAAGGCTGCCTGCGTGGAGTCAAATACAATCTATCTTTTCTGCTCTTCATTGTAAATATGGTTTAGCTTTTGGGTTGTTGAGTGATCTTGTTACTTTGACGAAATATGGTGTAGCTTTTGGGTTCAATTCTCTATAATCTGGTATGCATGCATGATGATTGCAGATATTAAAGCTCTGCAATCAAATTTGACATTGGAGGAGGTGCAAGCAAAACAAGTCAAGCTGGGGAAAGAGGTAGTTGATGTGGAGATCAAATTGATGTGTTCTCTGCTGGATGACAGAAATAAATTATTCATTACATTGTAATTCTTCACAGGTCAAGCAAATGGAGGAAAAGTTGATTAAACTAAGGCAGGGAGTTACTCTAGTGAGCCCAGAAGAGAGGAAAGCTGTGGAGAAGATGTATATGGATACAATGAATCAATGGAGAAGACGGAAGAGGATGTTCAAAGATATATGGGATGCAATAACTGAGAACTCCCCCAAGAATCTTAAAGAATTTAAGGTGTTCCCTGTGCTCATGTCCTATGCATTTCAATTCTTCTCCATTTGTATGCCTATTTGATAACGAGTACTTCTATATTTGCAGGAGGAACTTGGGATGGAGTATGATGAAGATGTTGGTGTGAGTTTGCAGTCTTTTGGTGATCTAGTGCAACATGGAAAGAAGCGATCCCGAGCCCAATGACCTTTTATAGCTAGTCTTACAATGTATTCAAATACAGTCAAAATCTGTGTTCACCATTTCTAAGGTATAAACTGTTGATTGTGTTTATATGTAAAAGTTTACAGTCTTAGAACATGATGACTGTTTGCTTTCCAAATCCTTCCTCTTGAGCCTCTTACACTGAAAATCTCTTCTTTCATCCCTTTTTTATTTGCCTTGTATTTTCGAGCCTGTTTATAAAATCTCAGATGATTGCTGTTGCTAGGCAGTGAATATAGATGTCCATTAGTTCATCATTTTCATTGTTGACAAATGCACATAAATAGAATTATTCAGATTAAAATCGAAATCTAACAAGAAATTGAATAATTATATGCTTTACTTATGGAAATTATGAACTCAAATGTGCAACCGAGCAAACATTACATAGAATTTGGGAAACTCTATGATCAAATAACAGAAACAATTCGCAGGCATAGCCTATACTAATACAGCAAAGCTCAAAAAATCTGTTTGCAGTACAATCTGCTGTCACCGGCCATATGTGCGTCTGGTCCTCACAGAAATCGGACTCTTTTTAATAGTCAAATGTTCTACACCCTGCCCCCTTATTTCATCAGCAAAGTTTACCCGAGAATCTTCAGGCCTCGACTCCATTTCCATTTCCAGTCGAGTTTGAGAATATTGAGGATCTCTGCTGCTCCCTTCTGGTATCTTGTCTCGAATGATGGAATCGAAGTTATAAGCCTTCGATAATCTTTCATGTTCATTTTCATCATCACTTTTATCAAAAACTATCTCCCTCTCCAATGTCTGTGTCTGCATCTTTTCATCAGACGACATGTTAGTTTCCTTCACATTGTCATCTATCGAATCCAAACTAGAATCAGATGGTGATCTGCTGTACTGTGTTCCGTTCTCCCTCTGCTTAAACTGCTCCATACGTAAACTTCCATCTTGATTTTCCAAATCGTAGTTCTGAACTGAATGGATTTTCTCGTATTTCAGTTCAACTTGTGTATCCTCATCGGTTTGAAGTTTAGATTTCGCAAATTCAAGCTTAGCTGATACTTTCCTCGGTCGGAGGTTTGGACTACTCGGGTCATCGGGATCTGTTGATTCAGATCGAGACAGTTCAACTGCTGCTCTTGCAGCTTCTGCAGCATAAGCTGCTGACTCAAAAGCTGCTTGGGCTGCATGAGCCACATCCCTGTATTTCTTCCTCATTTTTACTGAATCTGAGAAATCTTGGACCCTTTCTATATCTTCAGGCAGTACGACCCTATTTTCTCCTGGAGTAGAAACTCCTGACGGGGTGGACGGGCTTTTGTGCTCTGAATCCGGAATTTCCTGAAATTAGAACCAAATATGTATATCATTAATGTTCATAAATGATTGAAAACGAAACGAGATTTCGCTAATATAAATTGCATACCACTCTAGCGGCTGATGGAGTCTCCTCAATTTGAAGAACAATGTTATACTCTGAAGCAATCTCCTTAACAACCTTCATTTTGCTCTCCAAGCTTGGCATTCTAGTTGAAAGCTTCTGTATAATCTGCACATAAGAACATAAATATTAGAAAATTAACATCTTATTAATCTCTCTCTTAAATATATGATATTGTTGCCTACCTGAAGATTAACTCCACAATTGTTACGCAATTCAGCAGCGCGAGCTGCAAACTCTTTCCCATATCGTGATATGAAAATCGCACGAAGCTCATGAAGTTCCGGGAATTCCCCACATCTTGTAGTGGCATAAATCAAGCTTGATGCAGCTTCCTTCAATTCATCAGGACACACTCTAAAACACAGAACCAAAAAAAAAAAAATGAAGAAGCTTATTAGAAAAAAATCAAAATATTAAAAAGAAATTGAAGTACTCAAACATGCAATAAGAAACCAACTTTTCTTGCTCTATGAGGTTAATTCTCTCTATCAACAGATTGCAATAGCCCTCCATAACAGTAAAAACATCCAACATATTTTGCTCCTTTATCACTTGCTCAACCTACAAACCATTAAGCAAAACAGAAATAACAATTCATCTGTGAAAAAACAACATATTAGAGCATAATAGTGATGCCTTTTAATCAAAATTAATCTCTCTTCTATCCAAGTTCAACTACATACAAATAAAGTCTTCAAGTTAGAAAATTACCCTTAGAAGGGCTCTATCATGGTGGCCAAGATTAAGGAACTCCACTACATCTGAGCGGGCTACCGAGCAGCGAGCATGGCGCTGGTTCTTGAGCACGGAAAGGCGGGATAAGGCGAGGTTCAAAGTGGCTTTGAATTTTGATGTTTTGAAGCCCTTTCCAAGTAAAGCATCTAATTTCCTTCCCATGTCTTAGTTATCAAGTTTGTTTCTTCAAAGAAAGTGTTTTTTGTGTATAGATCTGTGCGTAGAAAGATGGTATCAGAGTACAAACGAGCCTTGCTCGTTTGCACCTTTGTTGATGACGAAGATAAAGGATCTGTCTGAATATATATATTCGATATATTTGCGTGTGTTAATGCGGAGTGTGTTGAAATAAGCGTGTGGGGAGTTTTCTTCTTAACGAAGTTTTAACTACAAGATATGCATGAGATTTGGTGATACGAAAATTGCACAATTGGTCCTTGATGTATTCACCTAATTGTAACTTTGTCTCTTAACTTTTTTTCTTTTTGGACAATATTTTTCCTAACCCTTTCAGTTTTGTAGCATTATATAGTAGTCGAAACAAAAATGTCAAATCAAATTGAAACTGCGATTTTGAAACTGATTTTTTGGATCCAATGAACGTATCAATGTTTCAATTCAAGAATGAACCAAACAGAATCGTTCATCAAATTTAAGAAGAATTACTTATTTTTACTTACAAATATACTTGCTACTATGCTTTTATTGACTCTATGGAGAAAAGGTGATTTATGATAATAATTTTCTTATTTTCTCAGAAATAAATTCTGAAAGCTTAAATTTTATGGTTGAAGCTTTGTAGTATTTATTTGAAGTTTCTATTGAGACATATATATTAATATTGTAACTTCTATGTGTAGAATGTTTTAGTTTAAGTGTTATATTGAGATTTTCGACAAATATATTTACTAATTTTTGAAAGATGTTATTTTTATATCGTTAAAATTGTAGTTTGAAACATAATCAAACGGCAAAAATGGTTGGTTTGGTTTGAGATTGTTTTAAATGATTTGGTTTGTAAATAATTGTCAAAATTGAACTGTAGTGTCATCTTTTCCTATGGCATGGATTCCGTTGATTTAGTGTTTTAAAATGTAAATATTTTAATGAAAATGGATTCATGCTTTTGTTAAGAGAAACTTTAACATGATAGTCTTATATACACACATTGTAGGATTTAGCATTTAAATCATGATATGTCATACTCTAAATCACTGAAATCGTGACATCTGAGGTGTTAGAGAGAGAAAGAAGTGGATGGTAGAATTCCCTCGAATTTTGAGGTGCCGTAATTTGAGTAGGTCGGGTCCAAGGTGTCATAATTTAAATGCTCAATTTTACAACGATTGCATAAAGGATCACCCTACCAATTATTCTCTCCTGCAAGGACATCTACAAAAGAATTCAAATATAATATGTTATTTATTTTAGAGAATCAATACTTAAAAATAATTTACTTTTTTAAAATAGAAAGCGAGGTTGATTCTCCAAAAACACACATTTTATTCTTACTTTATAATAAATGCATTTAATAAGTTATAAATTTCAATACTCAATTTCTTAAATTATCCAAATAATATTTGAATTAGTGGACCATTGGCATATAAAAAAAACATATTAAATAAAATATTAGGGGACGTCAATAAATGTTACTTGAAAAAGCAAAATGAATAGTCAAAATAGAGATTATTGTTAAAGTGAATAAAAAATTTCACTATTTAAATTTAAAGATAATTGTGCAGAAAATGCTATTTATAAATAAAGAGTCGTCAGAAAAAAGAAAAGGACACACCCTCGCACCTCGAAAAGAAGAATAAGTTGAAGGACAAAATTGAATAAGGTCAATAAGTTAAGGATTGAAAATTCAATTTGCTTTGTTGACATGCTACGTCGGCCAGCCTCAATCCAGGAAATTAAGGTCCAATTGAACAAGTCCCGGATTTTCTATGTCCCGCGTGGAAATAGAAAATATTTTTTGTTTCCACTCCAAAATAAAATATTATTATCTAGAACCTTCATCTTTACTCCTCAACTTCGCTAATGACATTTTTTCGATTTTATGAGTCAAATAATTTGAAATTTATTTTACAATAAGAGTACATTAGTAAATTATATTAAAAAAATATAAGTAATGTTGTAATTGCATACATGCACAATGTCTAGCACAAAATATAATCGATGAGCTATTATACACGAATCATTAATAATGATTATAAAAAGATATTAAATATTTCATGACTTCCACAAATGTGAAATTACGCGTGCTATATTTAATCGTTAGTTTATAAGTGACTTTAACGTGTTTCTCTTGAATTTAAAATAATTTATTTAATCATTCAGTTTAATATTTTATTAAATAAATTATTTCATCAGTTAAATTGTTGAGTTTGGGCGAGTCATAAGTTTCTTCCAACAGGAATACAAAGAGGTCTTTCAAGAAAAAGACTGAAATTTATGTCTTTATTCTTGATTGTACAAAATTACATCCTGTTCTTTGGATCGATATTGAAAAAACTTACAATTAATGTATTTGCTACCATAAATCTATTAGCTATCAAATGATTCAAGAGGTGCAATGTCGAAAGGGAACGTAGACATGACATTCCAATTGCAGAAAGGTACAACACATGAAAAGATGTAATAAGCGAAAAAGTACTACTTCCGATACAATGTAAGCAAATTCTCACGTAGAAGCACACATTTTTGCTGCAAAACACTTCTTGAATACATTCACATTAACCTCAATTTGCATACCTAACCATTCGTACATGTTCTTATTTTAATCACACAGGGGAATTACTTTCGGGCACCATACAACTGCTATGCCGGCAACACCTATATGGTGTCTTTTTCTCCCCCCTTTTTTTGTCTCCGATGAATGAAAAAACGACAACAGTTGCCCTATAAAACCCCACCATGTACGCATAGAAAAGCTCTTTAATTATACAATTATAACAACAAATGCTCCAAAACATACTTCCTTAGTTTCTCATTCAACGCGTTAATGTGATTTTCACAAAAGCCACCAACTTGATGGTAAACAGCAAGAAGAAAATGGGATTAATTTGTTGGAGAGGATACTTAAAACATAATCCTTCGTAAACTTCCCTGAGACGACACCAACTTTTTTCAACATCATTGATAACGACAGAGAGACTTTCCCTGTTTCTTTCTCACGGTCAACAAAGTCCTACCAAAATTCCCTCGCGTTGAGACTTAATTTTCTCTACTCTCTCTTCCATTTTATGAGTCGAGTTCTCCATTTTTATTGAAGACAATTTTGTAGAGCCCACATGTAGCAAATGAGCTTCACAAAGTCAGTACTTAATCGGAGGGCTCGTACAACTAGCTAAAGAACATGACTTCTCAAATCACAGAACCAATCAGATTGCATCCAAGTCCCCGTGTAAGCATGACAAAATTTGGTACCAAAACAGAAAAAAATTGAAGAGGACAACGATTTTAAACTTGTTCGACGAAGCAGCATAGCAAGATTTGTTTGGAAGAGTCAATAACTCGTTACTATTTTAAAATGAGTAGCCATTATGTGAATGTGAAATATAACCTCATTTAGCCCTTTCTGTGCCATGCAAGATTGGGTGACCACGACACAATATTAAACTAGTAAATTTAACATTCAACATTATGAACTTTGGACCTTACCACTAGAAAAGAAACTATTTACATTCTTCACTTGTGGAAATATACAATACTAACTTGGCATCGTCCTCGTAAAATTTTTTTTTGATAACCGTGATGTTCGGGCCAACTTGCGCGCACCTCGACTAATTCCACGGAACTCTGAAGTTTACAGTCCAATACTCACCTCAGTGGCCCTGAGGGGACTCGAACTGGTGACCATTGGGAAGCAAACCCAAGGCCTGACGAATTGAACAACCTCTCAAGGTTATCGTCCTCGTAAAATAATCTAATACAAGTGGTTATAACCTAACCGAACCATTAAAAACATGTAGATAACAAGAATAGGTAAGGTTTTCCTTAAAATGACCAAAAAATGTTACAAGTGAGAAAGCGGACAAGCAACCATAAATCCTTCTAAAAGACACTTCCTTTAATTGTCACTGGTCATTCTGAAGAATTTTTTTTAAGTAGTTTATTTTAATGTCCTGTCATTTATCCTGCTGATTTTATTTTACTTTTTCTTTTAATACAACTTGTTATCAAATCACTCAAATTTCAAAAAGAAACATTATCCTACAAATATTGCACTGTAAACAAACCCCACCAAGGGGCCTCAAATACTCAATTTCCTCTGGAGTTCATTTATGTGAACACTTGAATCCAATTTAAACAAAAATAGACTACATACAACAAAATGTCCTACCATGCACTCCTTCAAGGAAAGGGGTCTCGTTGATATACAAGAGAACCTCTATTACTATATTAGTGATGAATGACTAATAACAATACATCATCCAGTATAAATCAAGCCAACAATGCGTGAAACAGCAGCAAAATAACCCCCTCCATGACATTCCCACATCAACAGCCACCTTGAAGCCTGTACAACCATCCTTTTTTTTTTTTTTTTTGGTGAGGGGGTGGGGCGTGTATATTCATTACAACTTCACATCAGCTTTCATAGCCTTCCCAGTTACTGATTATATTCACAAGATGAACAATTATTTTCCTGCTTCCAGTGCAATTACACTCCAACGAAGAGAAGATTTCAAGAGACATCAAAAATCGCTTTTAACGGGGCAAGGAATGGATGATTGCTAATATAAATGCCATGACTTCACATTCTCTCTCTCCCAATTTATCACTAATACTAGAATGCCTTTTATTCTGTACATGACAGATAGGTTTAGTGCAATAATATAGCAGTGTGGTGACATTCTGTATAAATGCATAAAACCAGCAACTATAGTAATTAAATGTTTTATAACAAGATCAAGGAACAAAACATATAAATCTCTTGTTTCAATTGACCTTAGTAGAGAGAGAGAAAATACAATAGGGGAAATGCCATTGAATTAAATGACGAGTAAAAACAGATATCAGCAAACATGTTCTTGCATTGGCAGATGAGATAATTATCTTCACATAGAACAGAGCTCAGATTTGAACATACCAATGAACTTCATGGAGTACGAAAATATTTTGTGAAATTTTTCCATGTTGATAAAATTTCTAGCACT